GGGGGAGACAAAGAATCTGAAACAGGATCCAGGCTCTGAGCTGTCAGCACAGAGCCTGACGCGGGGCTTGAATCCATGAACTGTGAGATCATGACCTGAGCCGAAGTCGGATGCTTAACCGACTGAGCCACTCAGGTGCCCCGCAATATCACTTTTTAATTCTAAGTAGAATAAAGTGAAAATAGGCCTGAATATTTAAATAAAGTAAACACATGGGGCTTTTTTATTTGGCTCTTTTAGCTGTATTCTCTAGTAAAACCTACAAATTCTCCACAGAAATATCCTTCGTCATGGATTAGTCTGGTCTGTCTCTTACCTGTTAAAGGAAAGATTAATTGTTTGCAGTCTTATCAGTGATCCCATTTCTTCAGGCAAAGAATTTAAAAAATTGTTCCTAAGTTGGAAAGAAAAGATAATTTACAAAGTTTGGAAATTAGTATGACTTTAATTTATGATTAAAGTGTTGATGAGATTAAAAAAAATTATGTAGCTCAGTTTCTCAGTCCTTGATTTATCTCATTAAGGCTAAGTCCTGAGAATTCTGAATCAGTCAGCTGCCTCAGGTATTTGATTAGTAAGCCAAATCCTTATACCAATATGAAACCAATTGACAAAACAACCAACTCCTTAATAATAGATTTAATAGGGCAACACTGTAAACTAATCCCTTATCTTCTTCAAAGTGAGCTCAGCAATACTTCTCACAGATAGGGCCCTTGAGATCAAGACTATAAATATCACAGTATTTGATGCCACAAATATTTGATTGGTGTTTAATACACAAATCTTACACACAGACATGAAATTCTATTCTAAGCAGAAATATGAAAAAAAAAAAAAAAAGGAAAAGTAATGAGATTCTACATATTTAGAAATTTGGAGCTTTCCACCACGTAAGCATTAAGCAAGTCCATTTCAACTCTACGTTTATAATTTCAGTTTGCACAATGCATACGTGTTTTGTTTTTGTTTTTTGTTTTTTTAGAATCTTATAATGAAACACGGCAGTAAACAGAATCTCATTGTTGGAAGGATCTGGGAACAATATTAAAAGAAAGGTTAATAAGAAAGTAGAAGGATTCTAGAACCTATATAATTACTAATAATAGAAAATATTTGTGAGAAAATTATATCCAACTAGATGGCTACCTATTAGTTGAATAATTTTCTCTAAATTTCTTTACATTCAAAGACAAGCCTAATATGTTAAGTCATACTTTATAAACCTAGGTTCTTTTTTTCTTTTCTCTGTACTTTTCTCCAGTTACTGTCTTTAAGTTGTACTGAATAACCCATTGCAGATTTCTATCCTTCTCCTAGGGTCATAAATACCTACCGTTATCAGATATAAAAGTGTATATTAGTCACTTAATTAGAAACCTGAAGGTAATAGTTATAGACAATGGCATGCATATACACGCGCACGCACAATGAAGACTGGAACAAAAATATAGATAGCAAGAAGGAGTACGTGAATTCATTCTCTCTGCTCCATTAATATTGAACTAAAATACAGTTTTACATTGCTCTGCCAGTGTAACTGCCAACTCAAAACAGAAGCAATTCTACAATTAATAGGAGCAGAGTAGTAATAGATTTGCTTTAATCCCATAAGCAAAAAATAAAAAAAGGCCTCTATAGGTAGAATTGAGAATAAATCTTCAAACAGATATAACTTAGCTTGTTATCTGCCTATGTTTGAGCAGAATAAGAGGACCTATACCTTGAATAAATTAAAAGCATACCCAGTAACAGTATAGGAGTAGGAAGCCCAGATAATAGAGATATAGTTAACAAATAAAGACTTAAAGCCCAAACAAATAAATGACTATCTATCCCTGAGCCATTTATTATTAACCTCAAAGAACTGTGACAATTCTGATCCTGTATCTTCAACTTAGGACATATTTAAATTAAACTCCTACTACCTATTTCCTAAATGCTTAATTTCAGATTTGTCCTAAAATGATACTAATGACCTAAAGAGCAATTTCCACAATTGCTTAGGACACATGAGAGTAAGGGCAAATGTTAGCCAAAACTCAAAGACACGTTATAATGAAAAAGCGACACTACAGCATTAATAAATACCTGAGGTCTAAAAAAGTCAATTTTTGAAGCATACATAAATCCAAGGATATTGAGGAAAGCTTATTAAAACTGAGATTGACATCAGAAACCATTTCTTTCAGTTCCACAATCCTGAAAAAAAAATGATTTTAAACTTTTAGCCGTTTAATTCACTGTCAGAACTTCAAAACCATAAGCAGACCACAGGGGGGAAATATGCTTAATTTGCTAATTAAGATTTTCTAGGAGCGTCTGGGTGGCTCAGTCAGTTAACTGTCCAACTTCAGCTAAGGTCATGATCTCACGGCTCATGAGTTCAGCCCCGCATTGGGCTCTGTGCTGACACTCAGAGCCTGGAGCCGGCTTCACATTCTGTGTATCCCTTTCTCTCTGCCCTCTCCCACTCACGCTGTCTCACTCTCTCAAAAATAAATAAAAATTTAAAAAAAGATTCTCTATAACTTTTACTTTTTTCACAAAATTTCAATTTGGAAGTGTATTCTGTATCATAGTAGTTTTCTTTTTAGACTGCATAATATAAGATTCTTAGTATCTGAGTACTTCACAGTCTTTTCTAACTATGATATGTCAACATTTTCAAGTATAGTATTTTTTGTCCAAATTATCATTATATTAATCATGAATATAAGAAAACATTAAGTTAATTCCTAGGTTTGGTGTCACGACTAAGCAATTTAAGTCAAAGACTTAAACATTTCTAAGCAAGCCTCATCAATATTAGTCATTTTAAAGCTAGCTACTAACGTAACTATAATAACAAGAAATGTTATATACTATTTGCTTAGAAATGTAAGGTAAGCTATAACTATAAATCATTTTTTTCTATCATATTAGCAAAGAGAAATAAGAAAGTATCAACTGCTAAGAAGGATGAGTTTGGATAAGTAACTGATAAAAAAAATTTGGAAAGTTTTTGGAGATTTATCTTGAGAGCCATACCCCTTTTAGGAATTCTCCTGGAAATCTGGCCTAAAGAAACAGAATGTTTTCCTTTACTTATTGCCATATTTAACCTGTGGTATATAGATAAATTAGATTGTATTTTTAAAAATTTTTAATATTTTATTTATTTCTGAGAGAGAGACAGCATGAGCAGGGGAGGGTCAGAGAGACAGGGAGATACAGAATCTGAAACAGGGTCCAGGCTCTGAGCTGTCAGCACAGAGCCCAATGCAGGGCTCGAACCCACAAACTGTGAGATCATGACCTGAGCCAAAGTTAGATGCTCAACCGACTGAGCCATCTAGGTGCCCCAGATTGTATTTTATTTATTTTTAGTATTTTTTTTTTAGAGAGCAAGAGAGAGAGTACAAATGGGAGAGAGGTAGAGAGTGGGAGTGAGTAAGGGGGGGGGGGAGAGAGAGAGAGAGAGAGAGAGAGAGAGAGAGAGAATATCCTAAGTAGGCTCCACACTCACCATGGAACCTGACACGGGGCTCGATCCCACAACCCTGGGAACACAACCCAAGCCGAAATCAAAGACTGGCGCTCAAATGACTGAACCACCCAGGCGCCCCAAGATAAATTAGATTTTAAAAGTATTGTTTACAACATAGGGAAACACGACAAATAAACCAGCTGAGATACAAATGGTAGATATAAATGTAAATGGGAAATAGCTTGAAATAAAACATGCCATGCATAGAATAAATCAGAATAAAAAATAAATAGAAACGATCTGACCCTTCATTTAGTTCAATTTTATGAATAAGTATTATTTTCACAATCAGGAAATAATATAGTGACTGTGACTTGTGAAATAAAAATTTAAGAAAGAGGGAAACTGACTCAGAAACTCTAGATCAAGGTATGTCTTTACATTCTTTCTTCTTTGGCTCTCTAAATTGCTAAAAAAAAATATGAGGAAATAACAGAGGTAAAAGAATACCAAACTGTTTTGCATATGAATAACCAGATTGTCAGGTAAAATGAAAAAATAAGTTATAAGGTGGTATCTTTTAACTCCTTCCATCTTCATTCCCAGTTTTGATCCAGGATCTCCAAGGCAAACTTATCCTGAGAGCAAATTTAAGTGCTTAGTTATTTTGTCAAACACCCTCGGAACCCTTTAAACAAGAGATGAACTAGTTCTCCTTTTGCAACAGAATCTCAAAGTTAATTGTCTTTTAAGATCTGCATTCTCTGGGGCGCCTGGGTGGCTCCGTCCGTTGAGAGTCTGACTCTTGGTTTCATGACCTCACAGTCTGTGAGTCTGAGCCCCGCATCAGGCTCTGTTCTGACAGCACAGAGCCTGTTTTGGATTCTGTGTCTCCCTCTCCCTCTGCCCCTTCCCTGCTCACACTCTCTCTCTCTCTCTCAAAAATAAATAAACATTAAAAAAATAAATATAAAAAAATTAAAAGTTCAACATTAGAGTAAATTAATTTTCTCTCATAACTTAAAGATTTTGCTATAATTAATATCAGCAAAGATATACTGAATAGTACAAAGTACAATGCACATGACTCCTAATATTTAGAAGTCAAGAATCCTCTTTTGGGAGGAAAATATTAACAGGATTCAATCTGTTCTGCTTTTACTACCAGTGGGAAAATTCAGTGGCTTGGTACATCACTAACATGAAGCTCAAAGTGAAAATTCCTATTAAGCCACATGGACCTGCAAAAAGTAACTTATGCTTTCAAAAATTCTAATGACTACTTATAGGTATGTTATATTATAGGTATAATAATTCTAATACCTATTTATATTACATCTAATACCAATCAGTAATTTCTAATACGTAAAATTCTAATACCTATACCTAAACACCTCTCAGGACAAATGTTAATGTGTCTCAGAGAATGCTTAGGTGAATTTTGCTAAATCCCTCAAGTAACAATAATAAAAAAAATATACATATACTTTCAAATTAAAAAACTGTGAAAAATAATTATTCTTGGCACTGAGGCGCAAACATCACTGAGAATGAGTCACAGCTTAATAGAAATGACATCATGAGCAATTCTCACCTTTTAGGAATTTCACATAGCTGATTCTTACTGAAGTTAACAGAAGTGACAATGTTGCTTTTTACAGCATCAAATACTTCATCAGGAATCAAAGTTGTTTGTTTATCACTAAATGGAAAATGGTTTAAAATGCATCATTCTTAACAGTCCAGGAAGTTATTACTTTTCACTTTTAAAGGACTTTAAAGATTTTATAAGATTTTTCATGGCAGTTGGTTACAAAGATTATTTTGAAGTTCTGTAAAGAATACCACAAAAACTTGCCAACTCACAAAATGTTACCATTAAGAATTCAGACAACATATTGTATCATAATACATTGTATCATACCTTCTGAGCGTTCACATTCTCCATATGAATAAAAACAGATGTATCTTCAGAGTCTAAGATGTTTAGAAGTCATATCATAAATAGATAGTAATTAGTAAATGGATTCCTCTACCTCAGAATAGAACTAAAGCTATAATTTTAAAACTGTTGTCATCCCTTTTCTTAAAAATCTCTAACAGGGATTATCTGCCAACTTTATATGGTATATAGTTAACTACAAGGTAACAATCATTTTCTAAGAGTTCAACATTATACTAAACTGTCTTCTCATAACCTAAACCAATTTCTCTGTTCTTTAGCATGTGACAAAGTAAACAGGGTAGTGGCCTTAGATCAAACTATCCCTGGTCTTACTATTAAAGGAACTTTGTAATATACGTTCTCTTAGCTTCAGTTCTGTGAAATTAGAATCTGAAGAGTTATTCATTGTTATGTGTGCCAGAATTTTTGCAAATGTATAATGTATACTGTAAATAAGTTTCCTTTTCAATAAAATTTTCAAGAAAGTGTACATTTAATCTTAAATGAAAGTATAGTGGTACTCTGACATTTGTAGATTTACTATAATTAGCCATTTATATTATTCTTTTACAATTTTCAATGCCTAATACATCATCCACTTAAAAAATTATTGATGGAATGCCAAATTAATGACTGTATAGACAAGAAAACAATTATTACATATAATGTGTAATATAGAGGAACTTGTAAGAAAGGCATTGTATTATAGGTAGGTAAAAAAACAGCTAAAATTTCGGTTTTTATGCCTTCTACCTCTGCTTTCAGGGCCTATTTTCTATTGTGCAGATGCAGCATTTTTAACTTTTCCATCAGAAATGCTCAAGTCACAGGGAACTGATTTAATCAAACACTGAAGAGTCACGCTCTTTTAAAAAATTTAGTTGAAGGCATTTATGCCTTGAGATTGGGAATTCATTTATATTTTAAATGGAATACTCCTTTCCAATTAAGGTCTCTTAAATAAAGGAAAATAAATTACAATAAATTTAGAATCAAAACAATCTAAGATGTATGGTCTTCGGTGCTATCTTTATAACACTTCTGTGATATCTCTGACTTTAAAAAGTGGGAATGGTTCTCTTAAATAAAATTGTCTCAATATTACTTTATAGACTGTTTGCAGGATTCAAAGCAACAGTATCTGTAAAATATCTAGTACAGTGCCCAGCACAGAATGGGGACTCAATAAATGGTATCCATTTAAGGACTGAGGGAATAAAGGCAGAGAAAAAAGAAATTCTGAGGAATCAAGTCTGTCTCATCATTTTTTGGTGTATTATGACACTTAGCATAGGATTTGATACCTAATAGGTTCGAAAATATCTACTGAATAAATGGGTATATTATGTGTAAAGAAGATATACTAAGTCTCCATGTTAATACTATAAGAGAAGAGGGATACAAATTTAAGTATGGAAGAGTACTATCTTGTGTTATAGTGACAAAAAGGGAATTTGGCTTAAAGCAGTGATTTCTACATACATTTAAGAGTGTCAGACTAGAGGTAAAAACAACGTGAATGAAACAACAGATCTGAAATACAAATGGTATCCTGACTGCTGAGAAGCTGGTTCCTACTGATACAGCAAGGCAGAGGCCAGACACGGATGCTGGCTGTTAGGTAACCTGAATAAATCTAGTCACCTGCCTTGAACCTGAGTCTGTATTCTTTTGTATTATCATTATAATAACCAGACAGGAGCCAATCACTATAGGAGCTTTGAAAGTATTGGTTAGTTTTGTCATCGTTGCCTAGATAGTACTGAAAAAAGACTTGCCAACCCTTCCCAACCTGGACATAGGTATCTTCTTTCCCCAGTTGAGTACACTTCCATAACATAAAAATGTTTAGGCTTTTATCTCAATGTATATACCAGTATTACAATTATTTCAGGCTTAATATATGTATACTAGGGCATAATATTATTATGACATATTATTTGGCTTAGATTTGTTAAAGGGGTACAATCTCTCAAGCTTTGCCTGCTTCAATTCTTCATTAACTAAATGATACTTATTTCCTTGCAATATAAAATTCTCTCTTGATGCTGGTTACTCAGTCAAAATTTATTACCAACCAGTACAGTCACTCTTTTATTTTTGATAATAAAATGGTTCATTATTATATAATTTCAATATTAACAGCCATCTATCTACCTCTTAAGTGTAATAAACACAAAGCACCTAAGGAATGGGCATTTAAGTTCACTGTACTTTTAATATGCTTTTATCTCATCACTGGTTTTACAATCACTATTACTTTAAGTACTAATGCACTCTGATGAGTTCTCCGTTACCAATGTCCTTTTCTCTGAAGGATTATTTCTCCAAGTTTCCTATGTGTTATGCAGTGTTTAAGAACATTACATACCTATAGTCTAATATTTTTAATGTGACGATGGAATGTACATTGACTCTGGATTCACTTGGTAGTGTCATGGCAGTCTCAGTAACGGAGTCACTCTGGCTAGCTCCATCATCTGGCAAGAGACAAGTTATAAAAAGTCAATATTCATATTACAAAGTCATTTTTAAATTCCTGAAAATATGTAAAAATGGTATGCATGATTTAAATATTATTGGTGGGAATGTCTTTAGTCACATACTTTATTTCCAATAACTAAAATCTGGGTCTAGAACTTAATATTTAATTAACAGAAAATAGATAACATTACTACTATAGGTCTTCGAAGTCTTTTAATAAATCTTACCATAAGGAAATTTATGAATAGGAAAGAACCTTCAAAGAGTAACAACAATCTCAGAACAAACAATGACACTAAACCTTCCTCTTAAGAAAAATAATACGGTCTATTAGAAGAAATTTGTTAACAAAGGAAAGTATTATTCCCTACAAATGTCTACCAAATACGCATATGCCTATCTTCTCAGTTTAGGACACAAGGAAACTGATTATTCTCAATCACTTAAAACCTGGCAATTTACATAATCAAGTAAGCTTTTGGTACATTATTTATGTTAAGAGTTCTTCTTAGCAAATGCAAGACTTTATTTTCAATAGATATTTTCTAACATACATGCATACTCACACATTCACACACAATTAATGCCCTCACTAGTCTCCAGAGACTGTTTAACACTGCCATCATATGGTAGAAAGAGCAAAATAAATATAAATCATACACATTAAAAAGATATGGCTTTGCGATTTTTTGGCAAGAGACTTCAGCAATCTAGACAGAAGTAAAATAAGACTGTTTTCAACAATGTGAAAAAAAAATGAAATAGGTCTAGCCTTCACTTGTTAAGACCAGAAGGCATACTCAAAGAACAGAAAAAAATCAGTAGTATCCCTGGGCATTTAATGAACATCTGTTGAATCCTATAAAGGATAAAAACACATGCTCACAATGAAACTTGTAAGTAATTGTGTATCACAGCAATATCCATGATAGCCAAAAGGTATGGAAATTCTTGAAAATGTTCTAAAATTGACAACTCTATGCCCACAAATTTGGTAACCTAGATGAAATAGAGACACAATCTGCCAAAACTCACACAAGAAGAAACATACAACTTGAATGAGCCTATATCTATAAAAGAAATTCAACCAATAGTTAATAAACCTCCAAAACAGAAAGCACCAGGTCCAGATGGATTCACTGGTGAATTCTACCTAACATTTAAGGAAGAAATTATATTAGTTTTTTACAATCTCTTTCAGAAGATAGAAGCAGAGGGAATACTTCCTAACTTATTCTACAAGGCCAACAATTACCCTAAAACCAAAACCAGAAAAGACATGACCAGAAGAGAAAATAGAAAGTACTATCTCTCATGAACATACATATAAAATTCCTCAATAAAATACTAGCATAAGCAAAAAAGTGAATTTTTAAATTGGATTTTTAAAATTATTTAATAAATTATACACTATGATCAAATGGGATTTAATCCAGGTATACAAGTCTAGTTCAACATTCAAAAATCCATCAATGCAATGCTTCACATCAACAGATTAAAAATAAAAATCATATGGTCATATCAATAGATGCATAAAAAACACTTAACAAATGCCAACCCCCATTTATGATAAAAACTCTCAGTAAACTAGGAATAGAGAATGTTCTCAAATTAAGAATATCTACAAAAAACCTACAAATACACATCACACTTGGTGAGAAACCTGAAGCTTTCGCCCTAAGATTAGGTACAAGGTAAGGAAGCCCCTTCTCACCATCATTTTGACCATCCTTTTGAACATTATACTAGAAGTCCTTGGTAATGCAACACGGTAAATAAATGAAATAAAAAGTATATAAACTGGGAAGGAAGACATAAAATATTCTTTGTTCACAGATGACATGATCTAGGTAGAAAATCCAAAAGATGTGACAAGAAAAACTCCCTGACACTAGTAAGTGATTATAATAAGGTTGTAGGATACAACGTTAATATACAAAAGTAAATAGCTTCCCTATATATCAGTAAGAACAAGTAGAATCTGAAATTAAAAAGACAATACCGATTACATTAGCACCCCCCAAATGAAATGCTCATATAAATCTAACAAAATATGAATATGAATTCTATAAAGAAAACTACAAAGCTGCAATGGATGTAATCAAAGAAGTAAATTAATAGAGAGATATTCCATGTTTATGGATAAAAGAGCTCAATATTGGCAAGATGTTTATATAGGGCAGCAAGACTCAAAATAGCTAGCACAATATTGATGGAGAAGAGCAAAATTAAAGGACTGACACTATCCGATTGGAAGACTTACAATAAAGCTACAGTAATTGAGACGGTGAAATTGACAAAAGAACAAAGAGATCAATAGAACAACAGAGAGCCTATAAATAGCCCTCCACTAATACACTCAATTCATCTTTGACAAAGGAGCAAAGGCTACATATAAATACAATGGAGTAAAGAAGGCCTCTTCCACAAGTGGTGCTGAAAACATCTGGAGATCCATGTGCAAGAAAGTGTAAATTTATTCATAATTGCCAAAACTTGGAAGCAACCAAGTTGCTTCCTTTAGTAGAGTAAATGGGTAAATAAACTGTACTACATCCAGACAGTGGAAATTTTATTCACTGCTAAAAAAAAAAGAACTGTCATGTCATGAAAAGATATGGAGAATGCATAAATGCATGCTACAATGTGAAAGAAGCCAATCTGAAAGATTCTATTACATGACATTTTGGAAAAGGCAAAATTATGGAGACAGGGAAAAGTTCAGAGATGGGATGACAGAGGGGAAGACAGGATAAATAGGCAGATCACAGAAGATTTTTAGGACAATGAAAATACTTTGTATATTACAATGGCAGATATATAACAGTTGTCCAAACCTCATAGAATACACAACACCAAGAGTGAATTCTGAGGTAAATATGGATTTGGGATGATTATGCGTCAATGTAGGCTCATCCTTGGTTAAAAAAAAAAAAAAAAGTACCATTTAGGTAAGGGATGTTGATAATGAGGGAGACTATGCATGTGTGTGGGCAGAGGATAGAGGAGAATACTGTACCTTCCTCTCAATTTTGCTGTAAACCTAAAACTACTCTAAAAAATTAACTTCTTAAAAAATATTTGGATTATTCTGATAGGACTGATTATTTAATTTAATTATTTATTTAATTATTTCAGAATAATTAAATTTTTCTGGGGAAGAAACATATCTAGAAATTGGCAGGAAATGAAAGTCTTACAAAATTACGTTAATTTATTGGAAGGTCAAGGTGGAAAATGGAAATTGCTGAAGCATTCAATTATCTCATTCATTTTTTAAAATGTTTTATTTATTTATTTTGAGAGAGAGTGTGCACAAGTGTGAGCAGAAGAGCAGAGAGAGAGAGAAAGAATTTCAAGCAGGTTCTATGCTGTTAGCACAGAGTGGGGCTCAATCTCAGGAACCACAAGATCATGACCTGAGATGAAAGCAAGAATTGGTGTCTCAACCAACTGAGCCACCCAGGTGTCCCTGTTATTCATTTACAACATGGGCAATATGGTGCTAGGCTAGGCTGTGCATAACCAACAGAGTTGTGAGATAAATTAACAGTTGCTGTATTTAGCCACTAAGTTGTAGAGTGTTTGTTATGCAGCAATACAATGGTACAATTGATTTTTTTAAATACTCTAGTGTATCCTACATCATACATAAAATAAAAATTGGGATATAGCACAATGTTAGCATAGCATTAAAAATTAAATGTAGAGTGGGGAACCTGGGTGGCTCAGTCTGTTAAGAGTCCAACACTTGGTCTAGGGTCAGGTCACGATCTCGTGGTTTGTGAGTCTGAGCCCCACATCGGGCTCCGTGCTATAAGTGAGGAGCATGCTTGAGATTCTATCCCTCTTTCTCTGGCCTCCCCTGCTTGTACTTTCTCTCTCTCAAAGTAAATAAAAAAACTTACAATATTTTTAAAAAATCAAATGTATAGTATCATTTTCTCTTTTGGTGCATCTTCATGCTACATTACCATGTCCTGAAAAATGTGTTTTATCTTTATATCTGTCAGAACTTAGCAAAACTATGCTAGAAGCAGATACTAGAATACAGTTAATATACCACCAGTCAATAGAATGCATATACCATAAAAGTCAAGTTTTGCTTTTTTTTTTGAAAGTTAAAGCACTAGGGTACTTACTGAATCTTTGATATATTTTCCAATTGGTACAATGTAACACAAATTAATTAAGGATAAAACAGAATTATTGTGAATTTAAGGATGTTTTTATAATTTTAGCATATGTATGGCCTTATTTGGATTCAGAATTAGAACCACACCTGCCAGGGACCACTTCCTCTAAGTATTTACACCCCAAATACATGTAAATTTATGTATTGTTAGCACTTCACCAACTTTCACATTTTCCTTCAAAATACAGTAAAACATAGAAAAGTACCTTTAATCTTGCTTCGCAGATATTTTAAGACTTCTTGGGTTCCTTTCTGAAAAGGTGGAGAGAAGATACATACTCACCAAGACATACTTTGCAGTTTCATAGATCAACATGCATGCTTGAATTTCAAATTTAAAAACAGAGCTGAATTCCAAATATGCTTACATTTATAATTTCTCTTCGAATGGTTCTCAAAGGATTTCCTTCTAGTGCCAGAAATTTCAAATGAAGTTTTCCCAATGAACAAGGTAGACTACAAAAAAGATTAAACATAATTCAACCAAACAGTTGACTAAAACTAGTAACATTTGACAAACTATATATATCATATGTCAAAAGAGCCTAAGCAACATAGGCCTAAAATATTTCCCTTTGAGATAAATGTTTAACATGTAAAAGAAAAAGTAGATTTATTTTGAAATTGTCATATTGTGATTGCTAAAAAAATGTGAACTATAAAATATTTGCTAAATAAAAACTATCAAAAGCAAATCTGAGAGAATCAGTGATTCAGGATAGCCATACTCATTGGTATTAAATGTTTTGATTTTGCCCTTCAAGAAAGCAAATTCTTCCCTAATAATCTAATAGTTGATTGAGATTTCCCATATACAAAACCACTCCTATCCCATGTATTCAACCCATAATCACCAATTTTTTTTATTTTTTAATGTTTATTGTTTTTTAATGTTTATTCATTTTTAGAGAGAGAGAGAGGGAGTGAGCAGAGGAGGTTCAGAGAGAGACAGAGACACAGAATTTGAAGCATGTACCAGGCTCTGAGCTGTTCAAGCACAGAGCCCAAACATGGTGCTCAAACCCACAAACCACAAGATCATAACCTGAGCCAAAGTCAGACACTTAGCTGACTGAGCCACCCCAGGTACCCAACCAATTTATTTTTTAATGAGAATATAATCAAATTGGTTCTGCTCTTAATCCTTCAATAGCTCCCCATCTCTTAACGAATAAAAACTGACTTCACAAGCATTTTACAGACCACATGCCCTTAACTTACCTTTCAAGCCCTAAATTCCCAGTCTCCCTTAATGTACCTTCTTTACCAGGTCAACTTGATCCCTTGCTGTTCTCTAAATATATCCCTACAATTTCCTGAACTTTCAAAGCTTTCTTTGTGCAGTTTCATCCTGCAAAATCAATCATTCTAACCACCTTACATGTGCACTTGAAAATCATAGTCATCCTTTGAAGATCACATGGTGGGACTAAAGTGAGGCATGACCTGGAAGTGTGTTCTTTTGTGCTCTAAGCACTTAAATTGCCTCACCCTAGTCCCAGTCCTAACGATCATCTAAAAACATTTCTTCTTCTACATAGTCTGCCCTAATTCCTCTCAATAAATGGCTGATTCCTATTTCTCTTTTAAGCCCCTATAGCATTTTATATCTCTCCCATGACTTTACATTCATTTAATAAATTCAAGAAATATTTATCAGGCACCTTCTATATACTAAGGCACTGATGTAGGAGTTAGAGAGAGAGCAGCAAACAAAACAGATAAAAATCCCAACTTCTTAGTTTATGTTCTAGTGGATTAGAGTAACTTGTAAAATATATCTGATTCTATTAGTATTTTAAGCTTGCTGTCAAGGACCAAATCTAACTATTTTTTGTAGGTATGCATATGATACTTGTTTACTAAATATTTAGTGAATTCAATTTAGAAAAAAAAGCACTCCATGTGTTTTTCTCAAATATTATTAACTTATTAATATTAACTTCTGAATTATAAGCAAAGGCAGGCATGATTTCTTATTCATTTGATCTTTAAACTTACCTACTAATATCATTGTTGCTTAGGTCAAGCCTTTCCAAAGACTGTAGTAGTGTAATTTCATCTGGAACAGATTTTAACTTATTATCCCGCAGGTCTAGCACAAGGATAGAATTCAGATGCTTAAGATGTTCTGGCCCTAACATTTCAATCTGGTTTTCACCTACATGTAATTCCTACAAAACCAAAGATCAATCAAATGTATTTAATTTTTATTAGATAATAACAATAAAACTGAAATCTAATCACTGAAGAACACATGGAAAAACACATTTCTGATTACTATGGTGCTTAAATTTTGAATTACAAGTAAGCTATCTTACAGCTAAAAATGGCAAAAACAGAATATTTTCAAGGATTTTCTGGAAATTTAAAAATAATTAAAGATTAATCTGGCAGAAGTTCAAAGTTTATAAAACCAAATCACAGAAATTATTTAGTAGTTAACATTTAGAGAATTAATAAAAATACAAATCCAAGAACTATACTAATAAAAAAATTAAAGTTTTAAAACAAATCAGAATAAGCTTAAAAAGTTACTTATATCACAATCTATTTGTTATTCAACATTTTCATTAGTGAGTATTATATATACTGATTTCCTATTAACAGAATCTATAAATATTAGATGTATAATTTATCTTTAATTAAATGCTAACATTTTCAGTTCCTTTTATCACTGCCACATTCTGTTAAAAAGAAATGGTTTTGGAGCACCTGGGTGTCTCAGTGGGTTAAGCATCCGACTTCCGCTTGGGTTATGATCTCACAGTTCATGGGTTTAAGCCCCATGTCGAACCCTTCCCCACAGTCAGTGGCAAGCCTGCTTAGAATTCTTTCTCCCTCTCTCTCTCTCTCTCTCTCTCTCTCTCTCTCCCCTTCCCGCCCACTCATACTTTCTATCTCAACATAAAACTTAAATAAATAAATAAATAAATAAGTAAGTAAATGAAACTCTTTTAACTCTAATATGTAACAGTATACACGAAGAAAAACAAAGCATGACAAACTTAAAAGACAATGTTAATACTATATACTTAAAACCATAAGTTAATTTTAAAGAGATCCTGATCATGATCAGGTAAACATGAGAGGTAGCAACTTACAGAATTAGATACATATTCCTTTCTAGTATTCCAGGGCTCCTACAGTATGGCTCCAACTTATGACATTAGTCTGAACATCTACTTCTGCAGTTATATACTACTCCCCAGATGAAAGAGACAAATTTCTATTTTTAAGCTGATTATTTCCTTAAAACAATCTATTACTAGCAATACCATGAATGTATTTAGTCATATTAAAATTCTGAAAAATATAGTAAAAAAATAGCACCTATAACTAATACATATTCCCAATGTAATACATTAAAAATTTCATTTTCATAATTAAATTTTAGAAAATAGTTATTTAATAATCAAGTAATTACCTTTAATAATCTACAAGAAGGAAATTCTGGTAGAAAACGTAATTTATTCCTCCACAAATAGAGCAATTCTAATGACTCCATGTTAGCCAATTCAGGAGGTACAGTTTCTAAGAGATTTGAATTACAATCCAAGTGCTTTAATCCTGCAATACATAGTAAGTGAAAAACAAAAATATTTTAATAAAAAGAAAAACACTGGTCTATAAATGTGTACACATTCAAAGAATGTGTACTTCATCACGAGGACTTACAAATCTATGCCATACTGTTATAATAATCAAGAATCCTAGAATTAAATAAACGTAAACTAAGATTTTTTTACATTTAATTATATCTAAAGAGAAATGACATTAAATATAATATTTAATAATAGTCCAAGTCCTCATGTTACTCGGCAATCAAAAAGAATTAAATCTTGACATTTGCAACTATGTGGATGGAACTAGAGGGTAATATGCTAAGCAAAATTAGTCAGAGAAAGACAAATATCATATGACTTCACTCATATGAGGACTTTAAGATACAAAACAGATGAACATAAGGGAAGGGAAGCAAAAATAATATAAAAACAGGGAGGGGGACAAAACACGGGAGACTCTTAAATATGGAGAACAGAGGACTGCTGGAGGGGTTGTGGGAGGGGGGATGGGCTAAATGGTAAGGGGCATTAAAGAATCCAGTCCTGTTGCATTACATGCTAACTAACTTAGATGTAAAAAAAAAAAAAAAAAAAAAAAAGCTGCATCTTAAACTCACCAAGTTGTGCACATTAAATACATATAGGTCTTTGTATGTCAATCATTTGTCAATAAAGTAGTTTAAAAAATAATAATAATAGTCCAAGTCATGTTTGTAATGGTAAAAACCAAAGTACTCCAGTACTCTGTTAAGATATTTTAAAATATATAAACTACACACTGTGAGATATTACTTCCCTCAATAATTACACACCATTAAAAAGAAAAAGCTTAAGGTAGTTAAAGACATATAAATACACATGCATACTAGCTGTCTGAATGGATATTAAGCAACTGTGACTAGTAGTAGTTCAGACATATATATTTAAATTAGGCAAGTTGACTTTCTGTCAAAAAACCTTGGATTTCTATGTATGCTCTCTTATTCTTCCACCCATCCATACTACCTTTCTCTCCCTGTCTTCTTTCCTTTTTTCTGTTTTTCTTTAAATTACATGCTTTTTCTAACATCTTAGCTAACACTATGGACAAGAATGCATACTACAGTTCAAGAAGGATGTTCTTACTTGAAGCATCTCTCTCTTACCCCCTGAATCTTTCTTTATTAAAAGGCAAATCAGAAAATAAAAATGGAGAAAAGTAAAGGTCTTATTTCCCTTAAGAATTCAATAAGCGGCTTTGCCTCAACCCATACCACAGATCCTTCAACTTACAATGGCCACCACACCACATATTTCCCACAATTCATTCTCAACTGTCTGGTATGAATAAGTGATATACATTTTACAACTTTTTTGTTGTACTTTGAGCCTACCAATTTTAACATAATACAAGACTGAGTTGATATACTGCCTTAAATTGCTTCTTTGAGTATTTAAAGAAGCTAACTGCTTTTCAAAAGAAATGTACTACTTTCAACAAATAATGTAATGATTTATATATTATTTGACTAGAGCATTTTTAAAAACGTCACAATGTAATCTACCCCAAATCCAGTAAATTCTATAAAGAAAAGTTTCTTTTAAAAGTTACAGACTATACGGGCGCCTGGGTGGCTCAGTCGGTTAAGTGTCCGACTTCGGCTCAGGTCATGATCTCGTGGTTCATGGGTTTGAGCCTCTACATTGGACTCTGTGCTGACAGCTCTGAGCCTGGAGCCTGTTTTGGATTCTGTGTCTCCCTCTCTCTCTGACCCTCCCCTGTTCATGCTGTCTCTCTCTCTCTCTTAGAAATAAATAAAACATTAAAAAAATTTTTTTAAAAAGAAGTGAAAAAAAAAGTTACAGACTTTAGGGGCCCCTGGTGGCTCAGTGGGTTAAGCATCTGACTCATGATTTTGGCTCCGGTTATTATGTCACAGGGTCATGGACTCTAGGTCCGCCTCAGGCTCCACGCTGAGCACAGACCCTGCTTGGGATTCTTTCTCTGTCTCCCGCTCTCTGCCCCGCCCCCACTCGCACATGCCCATGCTTTCTCTCTCTCAAAAGAAATAATTAAACATTAAAAAAAAAAGTTAGAGGCAGGCTACAATTTTCACAACTGTTTGCATGTAAGAGCACTGACAGAATACAAGCAGTGTGCAGTGGGAAGAGCAATGGGGATGGAGTGTGAGGATTCAATCTTACGAATTATGATTCAAGCCCTTGCTCTACAATTTATAATATAATTTCTAAGTCTAGGTTTATGAATCTTTAAAATATAAAAAATACACAGAACCTTTGTAATGGCAAAACAACATATGTAAAAGCATTTGTTACAAAGAACCACACAAATGTTAGAATATTTTTCTGAGGAGCCAGTCATTAGTCCTGAAATAATAACTAAATGTCCTACTGGTGATAGTTTAAAAGTATCACTGTCATGGCTAAAGGAAGAAAGCATCTAATCATGAAATATGTTGCATATTGGAAAATTTGCTATAAATTCAAAGTATTTTTCTATTGATTTCCCTCTTTTCCCATCTCCCAAGATAGCTTCATCCAATTTATGAAAGAAAAAAAAAACCTCCATGCTTCTTACATACAAACCTAAGACAACATTTTATGTTTACTCTACTTTTTAATATGTTTACTGAAAAATGGCAAAGACAAGCAAAGTGTAGTTACTGGAAACCCAAGTAAAGGCTCCTCTAGGATATCAACTTGATTTATGGCAGACTTAACTTATTCATTCCTATTACAAACGATTATTAATCTAAAGTAAAACAGCACAACTTCATAAATTTATCCCAAAATGATCTGTAATCAACTGTAAAAAATCACTTCCATAACCTCCACAAAAGGGAGGCTTAAAGAAATGAAGAGGGATTACATATGATTAGCAGAAAAGACTACAGAAGGTAAAGAGTGTAAGGCTGACACACACAGTGTGCTCATCAACCAAGAAATAGTAATAGTTTGCCTTTAAACAACAACAAAAATCACCATAATGATTTTGGCCTCTAAATCAAGACTTCTAAGATAATTAAGTATAATTATTTAAAAGGTACTGAAATGTGCCTTCTATTTTTTTAATCTGTTAATATTATTAGTTCTAGAATACGTTAAATATAATGATTCAATGGTAAACTTCAATAGAACCACCATTTCAATCTTTAAAAAAACAAACAAACAACAAAAGGCTGATCATTTGGGCCAAACTAGACTATCTCCTGACATCATTACTTCTGGGCCATGAGGAACCCCAGCTATAACGTAACCACATAAGTAGAATCCCCTCTTAGTGAATGTTCAATGAATGAATGAAGAGAGAGCATAGCTCAAAACCTTAATCAATATCTCAGGTATATAATTTTCTCATATTTCATAATCATATTTTATTTTCCTTTTTGATATGCCAAAATGTTTTTGGTGGTAACTGTTTAGGAAGTTAGGCTAGATAATAATGCTCTGAAGAAAATCTGACTACTTGCTATTGTTCGCTTTACAAGCATAAAATCTATTATTTTATTTCTCTATAACTAGCTATTTTAAAATTTAGTTTTCTAAATATAAGTTGCACCAACTTCAAATTTATGTATTTTTTAAAAATAGAGAAGATTTACTTTTCATTCCACTTATTTCTGCTGGCAAACTCTTCAGCTGATTACTGGAAAGATTGAGTCGCACCAGACTGGACAGAGAAGAAAAACTAGCAGGAACAGTTGTAAGACGATTATTGGAAAGATCCTTTAGAAAGAGAAAGAAAGAATGAATGAATAAATAAATATATAAACAAACTAACTAACACATGATCCCTAAAAGGGATTGCAGAATTTTGAGGAGATTGCAACATAAAACAAGACGATTTCAGAGGTGATATATTTTGTAACCCCATTCACAGACAATTTCACAAGTTGTCATTCGTTACTTCAGTATTCTATAGGACCACTATATGCCTAATAATGTAGCAGGAAGGAATCAGAATGGACTCTAGCTTCAGAAATATTTTACATAAAGGTTTCTGTTATTACTAAGTCATGCTATATCATGCATGATATTTTTAATTAAAAGACCAATTTGATCACTCAATATTTATTGAGTATCTATGATAAATTAGACAAACTGTACAGGTAAATTGTAATATGAAATAAAAAATTTATTGGTAAGAAAGGAAAATTCTTGAAAGAAAAAAAATAAAGATGAGAAAATGGACATTATAATTTTTAAGGGAAAAAAAGTCTCTCTATTCTTCTGCTGATCTCAGTAAATCTGCTTTAATAGAGTCCAAAAGTTTACTCTCTATTTTTCCTTCATTGAAACTTGCCTAATTAATGTCTATGCCTGTTTCTTTAAGTCATTGTTTCTATTTTTTTGTTAAAGCATAAACAAAATATGAGAGAATACTTTTTTGAACATTTGAATGTTTCAAATTTGAAATTTTGAACATTTGAATTAGGTGTAAGTACTTCACTAGCTATCAGCAAACTGTTAGGCAGGCACAACTGCAACAATGGATAAGGAAGAAATGACTTAAGGAAATTTGTTCTCTGAAGACTTTCATTTAGTCTAACATTAAACAGTTGCATGTGTAACCCTAAATCCATTAAGATGATAGAAAAAGGTAAAAATGCTAGATCAGCTATTTTTTATAAAACACACCATTACTATCATAAATAACATATCATAAACTACAAAAAGAAACAACAATCTACAACTCCAATACTCTATAAACTAACAGATTATTAATAAATAAATATTTTGTAATATCAAAAGTTACTGACAATAAATGCAATGCACTATTCTAGGTTGTATCCTGGAACCAAAAAAAAGGACATTATTGGAAAAACTGGGAAAATCTTAATAAAATCTATAGTGTAGTCAGTAATATTATACCAATGTTAATTTCTGAGTTTTCAAATGTGCCACGGGTATGTATATTGTCAACACTAAGGAAAGCTGGGTGAGGGGTATATAGGAACTCTCTGTACTATCTTTACATTTCTGTAAATCTAAAATTATTTCATATGGCTTAGAAGGGAAAATAAATAAATAAATAAATAAAATTATTTCAAAATACAAAGCTTAAATAAAAAAGTTTTTGATACAGAAGATATTAATTCACAGATTCTTAAGACAATTTAAAGAAACCAAATCAACAAAATTACTAATAATTCAAACATTATTGCAATTACTGTTTGCATAATTATAATATATTGTAATTAACATAATTGCAAAGTTTTAGATCTAATTCAATACATCTAATTTATATATAATTAAATATATATAAATAAACCTGTATGCTGTCATTTCTTCAGTAAATATTTGTTTTGTACCACTGCTAAGCAGTTTTTATATAACTTTAAAAAATACTACTAGCTTGGAGTGCCTAGGTGGCTCAGTTTAGCTCAGGGCATGATCTCACTGTTAGTGAGTTTGTAAGATCGTGAGTTTGAGCCCCACATCAGATTCTGTCTCTCTCTCTTTCTGCCCTTCCCCTGCTCATGCTCTGTCTCTCTCAAAAATAAACTTAAAAAAAAAAATACTACTAGCTTAAATTATTAAATGTGCCTATATATTTTTTATTATTTTTTTAATGATTTTATTTATTTCTGAGAGAGAGACAGAGAGAGACAGCGTGAGCAAAGGAAGGTCAGAGAGACAGGGAGTTACAGAATCTGAAGCAGGCTCCAGGCTCTGAGCTAGCTGTCAGCACAGAGCCCAATGCGGGGCTTGAACTCACAAACCATGAGATCATGACCTGAGCCAAAGTTGAACGCTTAACCGACTGAGCCACCCAGGCGCCCCTCTTTTTTTTTATTTGAGAGAGAGAGAATACATGCAAGTGGAGAAGAGGGGAAGAAGTCAAGAAGAGAAGGAGAGGAAGGGAGAGGGAGTGAGAGAGAGAGAGAGAGAGAGAGATTCAGAGAGAGAGAATCTTAAGCAGGCTCCATACTCAGCAGGGAGTCTGATGCAGGGCTCAATCACACAACCTTGGGATCATGGCCTGAGCCAAAATCAGGAGTCCAATGCTCAACTGAGTGAGCCACCCAGGCTTCCCTAAGTAAGCTTATATTTCTAATGTTGTAATATATTATTGCTCACATTTATGATATGATATATGACTCCTTAAGAACACATTTCTCAACTGAAATAACCTTTCATTATGAAAATGACTATCTGGGAACCCATAAAAAGGAAACAACTGGGAACACTACAGTTTACGTTTCCTTTTTCTAATCTAAATACTCCTTTTTTATACATCAATTGCTACCTTTTACCGTTAAACTTTATAAGAAAATCTAATGGCTCCCTCCTTAGCCATTCATTTTATCTACCTATGCCTTTTGCTTTCCAAACCTCATATCCAATGTGATCAGATTGGATATTGACAGACACTGAAGGAATGCTTGAGGACAGTATACACATGGATTTCAAACATTACAGCAGATAAAGGAAATATCAAAGAAGATGTATTCACAGGAAAAAAACAGAGGTAAAAGAATTAATTTTTCCTTTAGTGAGAAATAAACTTTAAGACTCAAGTAATATAAGTAAGTTCTTCAAAACACGTAATAGGGAAAAAAAAAACAGGAAGAAGAATGTAAGAACTAACCATGTGCAATAGAGACTATTGGAACAACTAATCTCCATCTAATCTAGCCAAAATCTTTCAGATTGCAGGCTCTAAAGTGGAATCTTACTCGTTTAGGGATATTTTGGGAGAAAAAAAGGGATACGTTTTGGAGTCAAATGGACTTATTAAAATCCTGAATTCCTTACTTATTAGTTACATGACTTCAGATGAGGTATTTTTTTATTTATATACACCATAGTTCTGTATCTATTCTAGGGGATAAAACTATGTACCTTGCTATAGGTAAAGTACAAAGCAAAGTGCCTATTGTTTTTATTATTCTTAAAATAATATCTGTATTGCTTTACAGTTCTATTTAGGATGTGGCGCAGACGGAATGAAAATTTTGCGAGGCAATGTAGACATTTTGAAAAATGGAGAAGAAAAGGCAGGCCTTAAAGGAATTATCTGGACACGCAAAAGACAGGAGGGTCACAGCGGCAATAAAGGAGGAGTGGGTATACAAAAGAGAATTAGTATATGCTACAGACACCTGTGCTCTATTTTGGAAAACCATAAAAATCCTCTGAATAACAGTCATCCTTATCACCCTTTTCCCACACTCTATTCCTAAATTAAAACCTAAATTGATTTTATAAGAAAAAAATAGGAAAAATAAATTTTATAATATCTCATTTAGCAATCTAATTGAAATGCAGTTTCTGATAATCCAGTCATGTAATCAGCTGTCCATGTTCTCATCATTTCAATCATACATCCAATTTCTAAGACTGATGAAAAATCCCACCTCCCCCAAATTATATAAAAATTGGAAAATCACAACTTACCAAGTCTTCTAAGTTGAAAAGTTGTTCAAATCCCTCTGGAATGGAAGTTAGTTCATTATGCTGGAGATAGAGGCCCTTCAGGTTTCTCAGGTTTGTAATTTCTTCAGGGAGTATTTGCAGTTTGTTATGGCTATTGATTGTTAAAATAAATGCTGAGTAATTAGGTCACAACACAATAAATCATTGCAAAGGTATTTTTGGTAACTACAGGGGCTCATTTAAAAAAAATAAAATATGGTGACTAATTTCAAGGACTTCTCAAACATCACATACTAATAATGTTAACTCATTAAAATTTTAGTGTTCTAAAGTAATCAAATAGAATTTCAAAGAAATAAAGGTTTTTAACTAAATAATTTATGAACTTTTAACTGTTTCCTTATAACCTTTTGATTTTATATGTAATATGAAAGCATACACTGGACAATTTTTCATACTATGTCTGAATTTTAGAATTTTGGCAGAGACATGGGCACACATACATTATAATGGAGTCACAGCTCATATGGGGATTATGTTTTTAAACTAGCACTCAAGACAAAAACAGCTCTTTTCAAGGGCCTGCCATGTCCAGGTGAATGTAGTATGTGACTCCATTCTTCTTTGTACTTAGTCTCAACTTTTCTACTCTGTCCTTCTGTAGAGATACTAAGTTTGTTGTTTTAGAAGTCCCAAGTCACTGAGCATGATATATTCCTTGATAATTAAAAGATGGCCTGACTTAACTTGTTCCCAGATTTATCTTAACTATTTACTTAGGAATTCTATTCTATTTTCACACCATATAGAATTACCTAACAAGTAACAGGGTGAAATGAGAAATAAAATGGGGTAAAAATAACCTTAAAGTATATAAAAATAAAACTAGATAGAATAAAAATGCCAAAAGATGCCTTCTAAAATAATAAACACTAAAAATTGTCAAAAATTAGTTAATATTTGGGCTCCTGGGTCAGTTAAGCATCTGACTCTAGATTTTAGCTCAAGTCATAATCTCATGGTTCATGAATTTGAGCCCCATGTAGAGCTCTGTGTTGACAGCTCGGGGGCCTGCTTGGGATTCTATCTCTCCTCCCCAACTCCCGGCCTGCCTTTCCCCAGTGTGCTTGCTTGTGCCCTCTCTCTCTCTTTCTCCTCTCAAATAAATAAACTTTAAAAAATCTGGTTACTACTGTTGGTCACCTATCTGAAATCTTTGTGTATTTCACAGGTACGTAGTTGGGCAGAGATGTAATTCTAACTATATAGTTCCTCCATTTCTTTTCCTCTTCTATTTCTTCCATCTTAACACTCTAATCTGAAAGTATTGGAAGCTAAAGCTAAAAGGCATACCCAGTCTCTATACTCCTTTACCTCTTCTCTCAACCCTCCCCATTCTTGCCTTTGCAGGCCATATCCATGACTTTGACTTGTATGGGGAAGAGGTTCTGACGTAGCTCTAAACAATTAGCACCTTTTGTGTGTAGCTATTTTTGCTGATTTGTGGTAATTTTAAGTTTTTCATCAGATGAGGGCTGTAACTTAAGGAAGCATTTTCCCTCAAAGCAATAAACTTACCTTCAGAACACTGAGACTTGACTATGTGATGTCAGATATCTCTGTAATCATACCTATTTTATAAACCATAGTTTTTCAAACTATATTTTGAACACTTAGATCTTTTTATTTCCTAAATGAAATCTTCCCAAATCCCCTTTCCCCTAACCTATGCATATATAACATATAAGACAGTCATTTCTGGAAAGTCTAGAGGTGTGGATTAAAAGGCAAACAAAGTTAGTGAGAGTCTTAGCCACCTGGCTTCCCACATACCTAACAATGAGTACCACAAGCATATCCAGAGTCCTCAGAAAAGTTTAAAAGCTACTAATACTAAAGCCATGACATTTTTCATCACTAATGAAATAACTGTTTCAAATTTCTTCATTTACTTAAGCAGGAGACTTTTAAGAATATCAAAGTAACTTACAACCTGAGCTATCAACAAAAAGCGTTTCTAAAATAAATACTAAAAATTGTTACATAAAAATAAAACAAAAACCACTTAAAAAAAATCATCTGGTCTACATTTGTAAAAGGAGAAAAACATGTGGGCAATTCTAAAAACAAATAATCTGAGAAAACTTAAAATTCTTATTCTGCTTTTACCACTTTCTGAGATTATACAAAAGTATTTTCTAATATTAAAAAATATTTTTAAAATACTAGATTTACACCCCTATATTGGTAATACTGAAATTAAATAAGCTTAAATGTTACCTGACATTAAGTTTCTGAAGATTTTCTAACTCGCTTATAGCAGAAGGAAGGGATGTCAGCTGATTATCATGTATCTGAAAGTTATTAAAAGGCAGTCAATATCTTAGTTTTATAATTAACAACACATGAGCATGAGTTCGTTACTGTACAGAATTCTTCAACAATAATTTTGTTATTGTAATTCAATAGTATTGGGTTGGAGTCTGGTAATTTGTTCCTTGTATAGAAGAGGAAAAGGAATCTGAAGTTGACCACAATGTTCAGAAGTTGTGAAGTGATAAAGTCAACGATTTTAAATATTACAATTAAAAAAAATAACTTTATCTCATTGAGTGGAATTTTAATCTGAAATGAGAGATGAGAGCATTAGAAACTAATAGCACTTTGATGGTATGATTTATGTCAACATATACCAAAAAAAAAAAAGGAGAAAGGGTATGGGGAACCTCCTTCATTTTTCTCACAGAACCATATTATTTTGAAATCACAAGGAACCTGAAAGAATACCTACAGCCAATCCATTCATGTTACGAATGGAAAAAATAAAAGCTTCTCTAGAAATTTGATGAGATCCAACTTTTTCAGACATGAGTTGGAAGATTTCTGATGTTCCTAAATACAGTACATCAGAACTCTGCAGATTGTGAAATAAATTATTCATGCTTTGCTTCACAACACATAGCAACTAGAGAATAAAAAACAGTCCCTTAATATGCATACAATAATCTAAGCTCAATAATTTAAGTCAGTGTTGAAGACAAGTTTAAAATAATTTTAAGTGCTGATTTAATGTCTAGAATAATGATGAGAAAAATAATAGCAATGAAAACAGATAAGCAGCAGCAACCACCTGTTAAATGCGGATTGTTCGCATGCAATAATGCATTTAATTCAAACAAGAAGTTTTAAAAATAGGTAGTAGTGTCAGTCTTGGTTTATAGAAGTGGAAACTGAGGCACAAGGAAGTAACTTTGCAAGGTTACACAACTATCAGGTGACACAGTCAGAAACTGAAGCCTGGTGTTATATGTACCCTAAATCATCATGCTATGCCCACCACTAATTTGTTACTCTTCCTTATATTCTACCAATTAAATATGGGTTTTCTGCTTTTCTCTGCTTATCAAAGCCTAAATTTAGCCTTAGAGTTTCTTAGAGTCTCAACTAATGACATATTTAGAATCAGTCAACTTACATCAAGAACAGTGAGTGCAGGCAGCAGTCGGAGATCATCTGTAAGTGACTGAAGTTTATTGTTGGATATGATTAGTTTGGTCAAATCCGTCTGCTCCCACCATCGCTCAGTAGCACTGAATGAAAGATTCTGATTAGCTTCCTCAGGGATATCCACATTTATTCTCCAGACACACTGAGGTACTATTTCCATCAACACACACCAAAAAGAAAAAAAGGAAAAAGGAAGAAAACAAGAGGTGAGATACTAAGTGGTATACTTTTATAATAGCCATTCAGTTCACCTATTGGAAAGCAATTTCCAAAACATAAAAAAATATACTTAAAACAATTCAAACAAGCAATGAACTACAACTAAAGTTGATTTTATTCAAAAACAGAATATGACGTGTATTTTACATACTAAGTCTTTTAACTTCATTCAACTATATTTACTATATACATACTCTGCACAGCACATTGTGGCCAACATATAATGCAAAGAGAGAAAAGACTCTACCTTTGTGCTAATAGAATAGAGAAGGCATGGAAATCAACATTTATAAGGTGATATCATAATTTTACAAGTATATACTGTCTGAGAAAGCACTGACACTAATAATAGCTAATGATAATAGCTAACATTTACAAATACCAGGCAATTTTCTAACATACTATTTAAACCTCATAACAACTCTGCGAGATAGGTGCTATTACTATTCTCATTTTATAGACAAGAAAAATAGGGCACAGAGAGAATGTATAATTTACCCAGGGCTATACAGCTAGTAAGTAGCAGAAATTGGATTCAAACACCTGCAAAGTTATAGTGTCTTGACTTTCAGTGGTTATTTGGAAGGCATAACTGACTCTGGTACTTGCCCTCTATTTCACCCAACATATAATTTTATTTCTTACCCTATCACACAACAATGTGTGAATCTCATCAGAACAAATACAGCAACTCATGGAACACAGCAAATAAGACTGTACAAGTTGAATGTGGAAGACTCCAAGTTGAATGTGGAGAGTCCAGGTTCACCACTATAAAAACTGAAACTCCAGAAGGTACTAACTTGCTACAGTGTTGTAGCAAAACCATTTTAACTTCATTCCATCATATAAGTAGGACTACATATCAGTATGATTTTAGAACTTTGAGCATTATTAATCAAGGCAACAACTGATTATGCCCTGCAGTCATTGGCTATGTTTACAGAATGATACTAAATGAAAAGGTATAGTCAAAATTTAAAATTCAGGATACTGAAGTACAATTCAGGAATACTAGTCTGATACATTGGTTTAACAGAAGCAAAGCAAATCTGAAATCTATGAGGTTTATACTCATTCAAGAAAAATGGGGTAACTGTAATCATATTAGAATATATTAAAAGATTCTTCTCTCACCCCTTCTCTCTGCTTAGTGTCTTCTTTACACTTCTATCAATGAAACTCCACTTAATAATCCATCATATTTCCATTTGTGGATATAGGTTTATTTATTTTTTTAATTATTTATTTATATTTGAGAGACAGAGACAGAGTACAAGTGGGAGAGAAGCAGAGAGAGAGGGAGACACAGAATTTGAAGGAGGTTCCAGGCTGCAAGGTGTCAGCAAAGAGCCCGACGTGGGGCCTGAATTCACAAACTGTGCGTGAGATTGACATGAACTGAAGTTGGATTCTTAACCAACTGAGCCACCCAGGCACCCTGAGGTTTATTTTTACAGCAAAGCAAAATAAGAAAAATTCTCTCTCCCCAGTTCTTTTGAGAGCAAAAGCACCATAAAATGTATCATTACTACTACTACTACTATTATTATCACTATTATTTTGGTGTTCAGTTATGGATGGTTGAGTGGGAATAAGAAACACAGATCAACTCAGATTAGCATGTGAATTTACTGACACTAAAAGCCAGTAGAAATGGGGATACTCATGCATTTGACTAAATTTTGATGTTACTCGAGAGGAAAAAAAAGTTACCAATGTGCCATACAGATTGAGTCACCAAGTTTCAGTATAAAAAACAAGGCAAGACAAAATAATACAACACACAAATGTAGAAAAGAAGCTATGTGATATGCACAATTTTACTCCTAAGAAACTATGTAGAGCATTTGTGCATATATTTTCCTCTAACATCCATACATAGATGTTAGATCTATACATAATTAAGATGATTATAATTAAAAAGCAATGTAATACAAATTTGGAGGGGTAGGAAGGCAGGAAGTACAAGAAATTGTACATAACACAATGAAAATACTTGTTACCCATCAACTACACTAAATCACTGTTAACATTTTCTCATTAATTCAGATTCTTCTATTAACAAAATTTGTCTTTGTAGGAACTATCAAAGGATGGATAATTGTTGATATCATATTGTTAATGAGCATGTATCAATTTGCTTTTCCAAAAACACGGACATACCGCTTATTCTTTTCCTTATTAACTTGTTTGTAAGGTATCCAAACTTTCTCGAGAGCTTACAGCATCAAGATTCATGTCACACTCTTCTTCCCTTCCCCACAAACATGAAGAAGGTATAAATAGTCCTAATTATTGAGGAATTCTTTAGAGCCACCTAAAAGTAGCTTACCAATTGATAAAATAGATACTATCAGGTAAGGATGAATGTCAATAGGCATACAAATGTGAAAAAAATTACTCTGTAGGGAGGTTTACTTACTTTACCTAATACTTAAAAGAATAGTATAATGAAGTAAAACTCCAGGTATCCATCACCCACCTGTAACAAATTATCAACTCATGGCCAGTCTTGCTTCATAATCTCACTCCACATATCTAAGCTACAATTGTAAACTAGAAAAAGAACATATTAAACCCAAAGTAAATAGAAGCAAAGAAATAAAAAGTAGAAGTCAATGAAATAGAATAGACTAAAATGTAATTAAACCAATACCTGTTCTTTGAAATTAGGAATATCACCATAGATCTTACAGATGTTAAAAGAATAAAAGAATATTATAAACAACTTTATATCTATAAAATCAACAACTGAGATAAAATGAACAAATTACTTAAAAGGGTGAAAAAAACACAACAGCAAAAGAAAATCTGAGCAGCCTTGCATCTATTAAAGAAATTAGATTTGCTATCTTAAAACATTCCCATTTAAATATTTAAAATATAGGGGCGCCTGGGTGGCTCCGTCGGGTAAGCATCCAACTTCGGCTCAGGTCGTGATCTCGCGGTTCGTGGGTTCGGGCCCCACATTGGGCTCTGTGCTGACAGCTAGCTCAGAGCCTGGAGCCTGCTTTGGATTCCGTGTCTCCCTCTCTCTCTGACCCTCCCCTGCTCACATTGCCTCTCTCTCTCTCTCTCTCAGAAATAAATTAAAAAAATAAAAAATAAATATTTAAAATATATTTAAAACAAAGAAAACTCCAGGCCCAATGCCTTCACTTGTGAATTCTAGCACACATTCTACGTACGTAGAAATAACACTAATTCTACATATACTCTTTCAGAAAATGGAGGAAAGAACAACCCATAACCCATTTTATAAAGCCAGCATTACCCTGATACTAAAACCAGATGATATTAAAAAAAAAAGAAAAAAGCTACAAACTAAAATCCCTAATGATTATAGACCCCCAATTCCTTAACAAAAAGTACTTTATAAAAAGTACATCACAACCAAGTGGGAGTTACATCAAAAATGAAAGACTGCTTTAACATATAAAGATCAATCAATGCAATCTATCATATTAACAGGAAAAAAAAGATCCCAAGGATTCTCACGAAATCAAAAAAAAAGCATCTGACAAAATCAACATGATAAAAACTCTCAAAAAAGTAAGTATTGAAGGGAATTCCTTCAACCTGATAAAAGGTTTCTATGAAAAAGGTACAGCTGGTATCATACACAATGGTAAAAGACTAAGTGCTTTCTCTTAGTGCTTTCTTAAGGCAAGGAAGCACATTCTCACTACTTCAGAATTTTACTATGGATCCTGACCAATACAATAAAACAAAGAAAAGAAATAAAAGACATCCATATTGGAAAGGAAAAAGTAAAACTGTCTCTATAAGAGACAACATGATCCTCTATGCAGAAAATCCTAATCTATAAAAAAATTATATGTAATGAGTTTAGAAAGTGCACAGAATTCAAGGTTAATATACAAAAATCAACTGTGTTTCCATATGGTAACTGTCCTTCTCTGCCTAAGTTATTTCGCTCAGCATAACACCCTCAAGGTCCATCCATGTTGCTACACATGGCCAGATTTCATTCTTTCTCATTGCCATGTAGTATTCCATTGTATAGATAAACCACATCTTCTTGATCCATTCGTCCGTTGATGGACCCCTAGGCTCTTTCCATGTTTTGGCTATTGTTGAGAGTGCTGCTATGAACATTGGGATACATGTGCCCGTATGTATCAGCACTCCTGTATCCCTTGGGTAAATTCCTAGCAGTGCTATTGCTAGTTGGTTTCCATATAACACTCAGTGCTCATCCCCACAGGTGCCCTCCTCCATGCCCATCACCCCCCTTCCCCTACCCCCCACCCCCATTAGTCCTCAGTTTGTTCTCAGCATTCAAGAGTCTCCAATGGTTTGCCTCCCTCCCTCTCTCCCACTATTTTTCCCCCCTTCTTCTCCCCCACAGTCCTCTGTTAAGTTCCTCCTAATCCTCTTATACATGCAAACATATGGTAACAGCTTGGTAAATTTGTAAACAGTTAAATGTACATTTATCACCGTATGTCCACAAATTCTAATCTTAGGTATGTAACTCAATAGGAACAATAATGTATGTCTACACAAAGACTGTATTTGAAAGCTCATGGCATTTTAGTCATAATAGTCAAAAACTACAAGCAACTTGGGGCACCTGGGTTGTTTGGTCAGTTGAGCAACTGACTCTTGATTTTGGTTCAGGTCATGATCTCGTTGTTCGTGAGTTCAAGCCTCGCATCAGGCTCTGCACCTCAGTGCTTAGGATTCTCTCTCTGTCTGCCCCTCCCCTGCTCGCTTACTCTCTCATTCTCTCTCTCTCCCTCTCTACATACACTTTTTTAAAAAATTAGAAGCAACTCACATGGACATCAACAGCTGAATGGATAAACAAATTGAGGTACATACATACAATAGACTATTACTCAACAATAAGAAAAAAACTACTGATATAAACAACATGGATGGACCTCAGAAAACATAGTAAG